TGCCACAGCCCCCAGTGCCACGGAGACAGGACACAGGATAAAACATCTCAGGGGGCGAGGGGCAGGGGAATGCACCCAGTGTCTCCCAGGCTGTACCCCTGTTCAGTGTGGGTCCAGGCTCCCCGCGCCCGGCCCCCCTCGGTGGGGGGCTACCAGAAACGCCTGTCACCGCCTGTCCCCACGGGGTGACCACCCCCAGGGAGCTCCTACACCCAGGGAGGGGAGGAAAAAAGTCACAGAGCTGGCTGCACCTGTAAGAGGGCAATGCCCCTCAGCATGCCCCAAAGATTCATTTGTCAATGATGAATTATAAAGCTGTAACATTTCGTAATTCAGGACACACTCGAATACTAGGAAAAATAGCTGCAAGAGCCCTCCCCGCCCCAAAAAGAAGCATTTGTTCCATTTTTGACAGCTTAACGAATGCCCTACTCTTTTGCATTGATTTTTGTGTGTGCGTGTCTGCGTGTGTGCATGTGTGCCTGGGAAGGGTCTCTCAGGGGCTTTGCTGTAAACAAGGGAAGCTAAATCCTCTGCCCAAGCGGCTTCTTCTACCTTTAAATAACCTCTGTACTAAAATATTTCAGGGGAGAACATGTACAAAAATATCAAGAATGTTAAAAATAAGGAAAAATTACTCTACATCCCAGCAAGTGTATCAGAAATCTGTAAAACAAGACATTGAACCAACTACCTTGATGTGGCAAAACAGTCCGAGAGGCAGGACGTGGTAATTCCAGCTTTCAGAAAATAGCAGGGTCAACAAAGCCCAAAATCTCAAATTCATCACTGACTCCAGAACACCAATTTTCCTTACACACCTAAAGGCTCATCTTGCAAGGCAAAATATGTTAACAAAAAGTCTGCAAGCACCTAGAGATAAAAAAAAAAAATAATGCATCTTAAAAAGAATTGTGCCACTTGGAATTTCTAAACGCTTTAAATTGAAATATTCTGGCCAGTTGCATCTCTGCTTTCATGTTTTTCCTAGTTCTTAACATATTGAACTCTATATAATTTAAATGGAGATTAATTCTTCCATTTAAAGCTCTTTAAAATAATTCTGCCTATGATCTCCAGCTTCTCCACAGTGCCTCTTCTCCAGTTTTCCTTGAGCTACATAAGCGGAACTGACAGATCACTGCTCAGATAGCAGCCACGTTCTTCCCCCAAAATGTTGCCTTTTTGCTATTCAGGAGTATCCTAATACCAACAAATGCTAAATTTAGTCTGACATGTACCCCTAAGAAACAAACTTGTAAGTTGTGGCTTCAAAGGAAACCTTGAATAAATAGGACACATTGTGTACACCCAGGCTAACATCCAACATATGCTCTGGTTTCCTGATGCTGAGACAGAGCAAGAATAGCCCCTGGGAAAGTCTGTGATTTGCTAGTGCTGGTACTTCCAACATTCATAATGTACCATTTTTTTTTCCCCCTGTATAAACAATTTTTAAAATGTAATTATGAAGGACCCCAGCCACATTTCAGAACACCACAGGGTCATGAATAATGGATCAGCTGACACGCCACCAGCTTGATCCACAATTACCAAGCACTGCTCCCTCCTCTGCAGCAGGACATGGCCACTGGTCAGTCACCACTGCACAGGCTGTGCTTAACCAAATCAAAGAGTAAATTCCACAATGAAGGGGTTGGATTCCTCCCTTCTGTGGCTGTGATAACTGGGAGGTGCAGTCACCAACCAGGGTACAAAGGAAGCATGGCAGAGAAAAGCCACAAAACAAGGTAACTGCCCAGGAAACATCTGACTGCACCCACGGGGTCACTTCAGACACTCCAGCCTTAAAAGGCCAATTGACTTATTTGTTACTGAGGGAAGACAGAAGAGATGGATAGAGAACATAAAGATAAAACCTACTTCAAGACTTACACATATAGAACCTTTTCTGTCATTGTTTAATGCTCTATTTTATGACTAATCCTTCTCTAAGAACTACAAGGAGTTGAATTCCATCCTACCATCCCCTTCTCTGCTTTAAGCTCAATTCCTCTTCCCTTTCGTCCTGTGTTCCTCCAGATTTAGGGCACGAAAGTAGATCATTAAAATTCAGGTACAATAATTCACAAGATCTAAAGCGTGCTTGGTGAAATATTACTACTGAACCCAAACCTGCTGTGGACAGAACACAGGTTAATTGAGCACGATAAAATAATTACTGCTTACACCACGCTGTGAGCCCAGTGACACCATGGGCCACAGGCTGACCCACCGAGCAGTCACAACAGACCAACACTCCCCTCTGAAACGTGGCATGTTAAAAATGGATCTAGCATCACAGTTGGGAGGTTTCACTCTGGATTAGGCACAGCCTCAAAGCACCCGAATGTAGATTATGGGCTCACAAATTTGATACTTTAGTCACAGAATCGTTTTGGTTGGAAAAGACCTTTAAGATGATCAAGTCCAACCATTGAACTAATACTACCAAGTCCACCACGAAACTATGTCCCTCAGCACCACATCCCACAGCTTGGAAACCCCTCCAGGGATAGGGACTCCACCACCGCCCTGGGCAGCCTGGGCCAAAGCATGATAACTCTTCCAGTGAAGACTTTCCTAATATCCAAACAAAAGCTCCCTGGCACAAATTGAGACCATTTTCTCTTGTCCTATCACTGTTTCCGTGGGAGCAGAGCCTGACCCCCACCTGGCTCCAGCCTCCTGTCAGGAGCTGTGCAGAGCCAGAAGGTCTCCCCTGAGCCTCCTTTGCTCTCTCTCCACACTCCTCCTCTCTATGGAACTTGTAATCTGTACATTTCCTTTTTTAAAAAACAATGTGTCTATTTTTCACCTCTTTGCTTCCCATGTGCAGCGTGTGGGTTTGCCTCCTCTTGCCTGGGAAGGCAATGGGCCCATCAGAGACATCATCCCTCAGCCTCCCAGGGCTCTGCTCCCACTGCTGCGAGCCCATCAGGTCGTGGTGCTCAGTCTTCAGATTTAGTCTAAAAATAATTACTCAGCCTTCAAATTAGTATTCAGGCTTCTTGGACATCTCTTAAATGCCTGTCTTTGGAATGGTGGAGCTGTAAATAGCTAGGATACATCAAAATTATTTATTTAATCAGCAAAAAACCTCCCATATATTATAAATAGATTTCAAGTTATAGTGCTCTTATGAGAAGTGTAATTACAGTGAAGAGAACCACTTCGTTCTTCTTGCATGCTCCTGGGATCCCTTAAAACAGTCTGAGGGATAGCTTATGATAATGAAAAAATAAACCTGAATTACTTCTATTTTCAGCAGCTCTTGTTACAGTGTACAAAAAATACCACATAATCCCACAAGAAATTTTGCTTCTAAATAACCTCTTGTCTCCTCTAGACCTTCAAGATAAGACAGAGACAATGCAGCTTCCATCAGACATCAGAAAAAATCAAGTTCATCCTTTAGATCTCACCCTACTCCCAAATAAGAACCTACAAACATAGAAAAAAAATTTATTTTTCATTCTGCTGGGTTCTGTATGAGACAACTTGCAATTATCAACGTCTGCCTTTGCCAGAAGCCTCATAAATACTGAGTCCAGTGTGTTCTGGGGGTCCCTCCTCCTCCTTCCCAGTACAAAGCCCCTATTGATAAGCTGCTGAATAGTGTAAATGCAGTTCTAAAAAGGGAAAAGAACTACCTTTATAATCAATTGTGTGTGAAGGCCTTTCTGCCTCCCAAAAGGTCAGAAACTACATCTTCAGGTAAAAACTACCCAGAACTGTACCACTAGTGAGTCACCCAGTACTGAAGGTATTTATTCTTTGGAGGGCTCCTCCAAGCCTGTGAGGAAGCTCTGGGTTTTTGGCCCTCCCCTGAGCAGATCTGGCCAGTTGTCATTACCCAACCAGCCCTGTCACCAAGGAAGTACCAAGACCAAGACCAAGGTGGAAGGGCTCACCCACCCTTGCACTCCAAACAGGAGGGATGCTCTTTCCAAATGGGAATACACATGAGCACTTTGGAACAGGAAAATTCCTATTTCTAGAGGACAGCAATGAGTTCTGTTCAGTAATCATTCCATTCTGAATGAACACTGAAAGGCTTGCAGAAACCAGCTCTATTTTCTCCCTCTCAGGCAATGAATTTGTGTAAGTGTTACACACAAACATACCTACAACCAGCTGACACAATAGATTAAATAACTGCAGCTGGAGGCATTCTTTCTCTCATGAATTTATAACCCTTTATTTACAGGGGTTTTAGCAGAAGCCATTCATGTCTTACAGCAATCTCTCGTATCTGATTATAATTACAACTGCTCTCTCCACAGAGTAACCAATTTTATTGGTGATACAAAAAGTCCCTTGATCCAGGCCTCATCCAGCCCAGCACAAGAACCACAACCAGCAGCCACATCACCTAGATAGCTTTGAACTTATTTGCACAGTGGACAGGCTACAGCAAACCACTTAACATTACTGGAATGATCACACTTTCCTGACTTACATTACTTCAGAGGAAGTTCTCAGTCCAAGAAGTGTAGAGGAAAACCACACAGAGTTGGAAACTTGGAGGGAATCACCAGAACACTTCCATGTCTCACATACCCACCACCCAAGGAAATGGATGGATTCACTCCTACGTCCATTGAGTTACCGTTGCGAAAAACAATTTAGCTAACAAATTAATGCTTGAGAGGCAAGATGAATCCTCCAAGTTGTTGCCCTCCCCTTTAGAAAGTCAACGTACACGGCCTACAGCTGCATACTTTTGTTTCCCCCCAGCAGGGCAGGAGGCAGGAGGGGAGCAGAGGCAGGTGACGTACCGTCGTAGTAGACGATGGCTCCGACCAGGTCGTCTTTGCGCAGCATTGGGAAGAGTTCCAAGGCTCTCGACTTGCTAAGGACATAACTGCTCCTCAGGCACTGGCTCCCTGCCACTATGTCGTAGAGTTTTATCCCAAACCAGTAGTATGGCAACTGCCACCATCTGCAGGGAAAGAAAAATTCCCCATGAAGTGAAATAAAAGGTAAATGAACGCCCGAGTGCATGCACACCCTGTTACTGTCACACAGAAGGGTGAGTTACAGCACGTTGTCCTGCACCAGTTTTACTCTGTAACCTTCAGACAAGTTCATGGCATCACAATATCACATAAACAGGCAAGAATTTGTGGGTTGTTCACTAGTGTTGCCAACTGACCCACTCGCTGCAGTTAGGCAGGTTCAAGGATTTATTATTCTAGAATTAGGATCACAAAGCACCTTCTGTACCTCAGTGCCAGGTGAGGTATTAAAGCTATGTGTTGAGGGAAGAACCCATCTGCATGGCCAAGCTGGAAGGGTTCCAAAAATGCACCTCCTGCCTAATGCCTCCTGCACAAACAGGACAAATAAATGCAGCTGGCCACTGAGAGACACGAGCTGCAGCTATTACAAGTCCCTGCTCCTAGGACAGGAATGAGGCCATACTTTAAGATCACTCAGCAAAGCCTCACTGTTGCAGTGAGTAACTGTTCTTAGAGTTCTAAAAATCCAACCCAAATCACCACCTGTCTCCTGCAGGACAAAGCTTGGGGTAGGCTTGAAGACATGCTTGGAAAGAAGCAGCTGGAAACACCTCCAGGGAACCTGCTTGTTTGTCAAAGCAATGGTAAAGGAGAGACACTGGAGCAGGGCTTACTTGTAAACAGGCAGCATTATTGGCAAAGGAGCTGAGAGGTGAGGAGCAATTTCAAGGAGATTTGCACGCTCCAGAAGTGACTCTTTCACTATCTTGTACTGGAAAAGAGAAGTGTACATGTGAGTCCCCAGAGATGCAATTTTGTCTCTGTGTGCAACGTTTAACAAGAAAGTGCTTATCAAAGCAAACATCTCCCACTATTTTTACTGTTCTTTCAAAGACATGCTGAGATTTCCTGAAAGATTTCAAAGGAAAACTTTTCCCAAGGAAATTAAGTTTGGTTAGTTTGATTTTGGTGTCTTGGCAAGTCAGCTGAATAGTTTTTCTCTTGAATGCAAAGCTCAGGATCCGTGTTAGAGCCAACTGTGGGCAGGAGGCACTGTTTCTGTAGCAGTATTATAACCACTGAACATCCTTTAAGTTAGAGAGCTTCCAATGAGAAGACAAATCAATTTCTCCAAACAAAAATATCCCACCTCCAGCAACACAAGAACACATAAAAGCACGTACACATGACCCTTTACCATATTTTCTTTCTCCACTCCAGAATGAACAGGACAACCATTCACCCCCCCAAATTCTGATCATGGCAAGTAGGAAGCCCATTTTATTCTGAAGCCAGCCCTGTCTCTGCCTGCCTTCCCCAAAGCACACACAGGCTATGAGGCACAGCAGCCAGACTGCCCATGGAGGAACTGAGCACCAGGCAGCAGCCCCGACCTCCAGGCTGGGGGAGCTGAACTGGAGGAGGCACTTTCTGTGCACAGTGGCTGTGGAGTAAGAGAGTCAAGGACTGAAAAAATAAAAAGGAGACTTGGCTATAATTGGGCTAGAGGAAGTGTCTACCAGCAATTTTTGCCTAACAACCAGCATAAACAATTACCTGCTCGAGATCCAAGTTCATGATGGCCTTCTGAAGATACCTCACTCCACCATGGATCAATTTAGTACTCCTGCTGCTGGTCCCTGATGAGAAATCATCTCTTTCTAGAAGGGCTGTTTTTAGTCCTGTGTTACCAGAAAACCAAATTAACTCCTTAAATTACACAATTTGTATGTAATTCATTAAAGACACTTCTCTAGGGTAGAGACAATCACAAGAAAAATTACTCTGTACATGGATAAATTTGTATTCAAAGTGTAGTGCACTGTCTATATCGTAATGAAAAATTTTAGCCTCCTTCCTAAGGGAAAAGTCAAAACAGAACTTAAACAGAAGCACATTAAAACCTGGATATTTCACAATAGAAAGGCATTACAGTACATTACAGGGGCCACGCTCCCTCAAGCAAATTACAGCTCGTGTTCATGGCAGGAAGAGAATATTTTCCTGAATGCTTTTAACTCTTTGCAGCAGAGAGCTCCAAACCTGTCACTCTAAACCAACTCACACAGCTCACCAGGGAACCAGCATCTCTGTGAGCCTCAGAGGTGGCCAGGGCAGAGGAGAGCCCCCCCTGGGCATGGAAAGGCCAGGGAACAGCTTTCCAGGGGCACAGGCACACTGCTTCACGTGGAAATCACTCCAGAACTATGGAGCCATGCAGCTGCCTCGGCTGGAAGAAACCTTTAAGATCAAGTCTCACCCCTAACCCAGCACTGCCAGGGCACCACTAAACCATGGCCCTCAGCCCATCTACATGACTTTTCAGTCCCTCCAGGGATGGGGACTCCACCACTGTCCTGGGCAGCCTGGGACAGGCCTCAACAACACTTTAGGAAGAAACTGTTCTTCAGGTCCAACCCTGGCACAACTTGAGGCCATTTCCTCTTGTCTTTGTTCCTTGGGAGCAGAGCCTGACCCCCACCTGGCTCCAGGCTCCTGCCAGGGAGTTGTTGAGACCCTGACCCTCCTTTTCCCCTCCTTCTTGTCGAAGGAGACTGACAGTGACTATGTGATGCAAGTCAGGTGACAGGAAGAGTTGCTGGATTAACAGAAGCCTTTTAAAGATAAGATACAGGCACATCCTTGTGCAGACACCTACAAGACAACCATCACTGACTTCCAACATCCAGCACATGCAAACCCAACCAAGATGAGCACCACAGGACAAACACGTGGCAATCCTTCACTCAGAAGACAGGTGGAGGGACAGTCTGTGTTCCAGGGGTCAGCAGTACAGCCCCTCTCCACCACTGGCAGAGTTTCAAGTCAGGCAGGCAAGGCAAAAGAGGAATTAAATTCCTCAGCATTGCTGCCCAAGTCAACAGCAACCACAGGAGGATGCATGCCCGAGGAGAAGACCACTATGTGCATTGCAAGTCTTCCCTTGGGTCTTCCCTTCACTCTCTTGGAGGGGTGCTTTATGTTACTGGTTGGTGAACATACATCTTAACATCACTTGGCCTCCCAAAACTTTTATGTCCTTAAAAAAACAAAAATCTAATTATTACTGGTAACTTCCAAAGATCAGAGTAATTTATTTTTGTCAAATGTGACTGAAGATTAATGGATACAATCAGAAATAATTTGGTGAGGCTATATCAAACCCACGAAGAGCAGAATTTGTTGTGAAGCGAAGCAAACATGGTAAAAGAGCAAGTTCCATGAATGAACAGCAACAACACACAAGTCATTAAGCAAACGCCTAGGAATGTTTCACACTTCAGAAACCCACTGATACAAACAGAAGAGCGAGTCAGAGGGTAAGCACAGATCACCCACCATCATCTCTGAATGCTTCCCAGCTGCATTGCCCACCACTGCACAGCAGAAGTGAGGAGACCTGAAATTGCCTTTAATAATACATGACAAAATTCAGAGCCCGAGCGGGGCTGGTGTGTGCCTGCCCCAGCCCTGACTGCTCCATCTGCTCCCAAACCACCACACTGCCTGGACCAGTGTGCTCCAAATCCAGAAAAAAACACTCCTGCAGTCAGAGTTGCCTCTCATTCCTGAGGTGTATCTCCAGGTTAAGGAACCTGAAGGACCTCATATGCTCCCATCTCTGTATATGAAGATCTACTTTCATTAAACTTGTGATCACAGACAATCCAACTAAGTAAGGAGCAACAGAGACTGAGAAGTCCATCGAGAGCATCCAGAAAAAAAGCTGGAAGGGACCTTAAAGGTCACCCAGTTCCAACATCCCTGCCATGGGCAGGGACACCTCCCACTAGACCAGGG